ATTTTGGACTCAATTGAAAAGAAGATAAATTAACAGTAGATGCAACAACTTCAGGGACATGAAGTTCGTCCAACACATATAGTCCTCCATTTCTATATCCTGTCCCAATCAGCTTCTTGGACTGTGGATCTTGCACAACACAGCCAGTAGAAGAAAAATGAACTAAGAATCCCAAATCAAACAACTGACTAACAGATATTAAATTTAAAGTAAGTTGAGAAATATAGTAGACATCAGGAAGTGTAAGCTGGGAAGACACGATAGTTCTAACACCAGCCAAAGACATTTGAGTGCAAGAACATATATAGAGGGAGGGGAAACAATAAAAACAAATAAGGAAGATTTACTAGTCATATGATGGGTGGCTCCTGAGTCAAAGACCCAGGTAGTTCGAGAGATACTCGAAAGTCCTGTAGTAAATGAACCTACGGAAGGAGAAATTGATAGGGCACCTGGTTGATGAAGGGAAAAAAGTTTTTGCAACTGATCAGCTATCATTGTCATGCTGGGAGCTGATGTGAGTGTCTTATTCACTGGTGAAGCAGCTGCAGTTGTATCATGATCTTTGGTCCTAAATGGTTGCTTCTATAAGACCCCTTTGGCATTCTTGTTCACTAATTTAGGACATTGAGCCTTCCAGTGACCCTTCTCACGACAAAAACTACACTCATCCGAAGTAGCTCGACCCCGATATTTAGTCTGTGAATGAGGAGTCCCTTTGGGTGGTACAGCCAATACAGTCTGATTAGGCAATGAAAGAAGACCCTTCCCAGAAAGAGTCTTAAGATAAACTTCCTCACCCAGAAGCTCATTCACTACTGCATCAACTGTGGAAAGTGGGAGACGATGGAGAATAGAACCACGAAGACCCTCAAAGTCATCTTTAAGGGCCATAAAAAACTGTACCAACCGCTGCTCTTCCCTAAAAGTACGATATACCATATAAGTGCTCAATTCAGCTGGCTCAACAAGTACTAACTGATCCCAAAATTCAGTCATAACCGAGTAAAACTCCTGTATGGTCTTATCACCCTAACATGCAGCTTGAATTTCATGTTCAAGCTGATATCTCTTTGCAAAATTAGACTGAACAAACAATGTAGCTAAATAATCCCAAATCTGTTTGGCTGTGTGAAACTTAGTCAAATGCACACCAATGGTCTGATCAACTGAATTGTTGATCCAAGTGATAATTTTAGCATTGTTGACTTCCTAGTATTCTTTAATTCAGCATATTTCTCTTCCTTTGAATCTGTTGGAGCTTGCAAAGTACCATTAACATAACTCCACATCTCTTTCCCCAACAGAAAATTTTTCATAACATACGACCAGTATACATAATTTTCACCATACAATCTAACACTAATAGCTTGAAGAAAATCAGAATGTCCATTTGCCATAATGTTAACCAGAGGTCTCACCAAAATAATACCCCAAAAAAAAAACAACAATAAATCCAGCAACACGTAATTCTCTTTCTCCCACCAATCCAAATAAATCAAATAACAAATAGCAAATACCAGACCTAACCCAACAAATAGCAATTCAACCCAGCAACACCAAACGACTACAACAATAAATCAAACAGCCTAGCAACCAAATAACAATTCAATCCAACAATACCAAATATCAATCCAACCTAACAATACCCAGCAACACTAGACGACCACAAGAAGTAGAAATCCCCAAGAAAAACTGATACACAGTGGCAACAAGAAACAACTGACTACAAGACTTCCACAAATCAGACAGACAGAGGGAGCAAACCATAAGAAATCCACAAATTAGAGGCAGAAATCTAACCATAAAGTAGAGGGAGATAGTCGGTGCACAGTGATGGCAGTTGGTGTTCTCTGATGGTAGAATACTTACCAGATGAACTCGAAACAAGAAAGGGAGCACACCACTGTGAAGCCCATGAATAATCGATCAAAATGGTGGTATTCATGATCAGAAACTGATGACGTCATCGTCGGCAATGATGACGTCAACCGTCGGGTCCACCAGGTCTTCACGCCGTTGGCATCGGGTTCACCAGGTCTTCATGTTCTCTTATTCTTCTAGACTTTAATCCTAAGTTTATTATTGAGTTTAGGGATTATGGCTCTGATACCATGTTGATGTTTATCAATGAAAGAGGAAAAATCTATTAATCAAGTGTAAACCAGTATTACAACGAATTTATACTAGGGCAAAACATAGTAATATAAAAGACTAATCTACCCCTAATGCTAATATACTAGTAATATCTCGAACAATAGAGTCTTCCTCATCTTTCTCTCCTCTTCATATTTTTTCCCGGAATTTTTTTTTGTGAATCAAGACAAGTGTTCTGCACTTTTGTGCTCCAGCCTATCTGAAATGGCCTCAGATACTAAGGCACTTGACTTGGTGACAGGAAACACAAGTGGGTAGAATATGGGACAGATGGTGCATGCAATGTTTTTTCCAGAATAGTAAAAACAAATTATGCCATGTATCTTCTTGTCTTTAACAAGCTTATGGATGATGCAGGTCTGTCTCACCACGAAGTATTATGCTTGTGAAATTGCAGGTCTCTGCTGCTGCTTTAGCTTACATTGTTCATAGAAATCCTGGTCTGAAAAGTTTGAAAGCAATAGGGTGTAGGAATTTGTTTCAGCAGGAAAGTACAACTGAAGTCGTAGAATCTCCTACTTTCTCATATCCATGCAAAGAATTCTATTTTGAGCTAGGCAAGTCCTGCCAATTGGAAGAAATCTCACTTGGATGGGGATTTTCATTATCTTATATGACAGCTGTAAAACCTGCTATTGCAATGCTAAGGGCAATAACTTTGGGTTTAGGTGGGTCGTTAGGTGAAGAAGGCCTGACACTTCTACCCACAACTTGTCCGTTGCTAGAGTCAGTAATTCTTTATTTTCAGGTAATTTATATTTGAGTTAGAATGTGTAGGTTTAACTCATTTTATCACCTACCAATGCATCAAATATGTTTAATAACTGTTCTCAACTTTTGAATTTGAACTCTTTCCCATTCTTGGGCCCACCTTTATTAAAGCAAGGTATAAACAAGAATGACAAGACAATATGAATGTGTGTGTGTGTGTGTGTGTGTGTGTGTATGTTTGTGGGGATGCTGACATCTGTGCAATGGAGAAAATTAGCCTGGTTTCTGTTTTTTCATTGAAATTAAACACTACTCTTCTTAGGAACCCAAAGGGGTTTGTTGGTCTGCCTGTCACTTTCTCATTTCACTCTAGTGTCTCCTTTCTTCATGGCGATTCATGAGCTCCAGAGTTTGCATTGTCATTGTTGGCATCAAATGCTTCCATCCAAATCTTTGTTCTATTATATGATCAACGTCACCATCGTGGACTCATTGCCAAACACATCCTCACTTTTTTCTGTCATCTGTGGTCTATTATTCATTGTTTTCTTTAAAAATTCTATCCAACTCTAAATCCAAATTCGGATGCATATGGTTTCCATCCCATGATTTGTTTAGTATTTTTATTTGTTCTTCTTAACAGGTAATATCGGATTCTGTAGTAGCAAATATTACTGAAACCTTGAGGCACTTGCAAGTATTGGCACTCTGCTACTGTTTTGGTGAGACATCCTCACTAAGCTTTAAGTGCCATATGCCAAATTTGAGGAAATTGAAACTTGAAAGAGTGGCGCCATGGATGAACAATGATGATTTGGTTATTTTGGCTCAGAATTGTACGAATTTGATTGAGCTTTCCTTGCTAGGATGCACACTTCTTAACACAGGTCAGTGACTTTTATCTACAAGGCATTCTGTTTACATTCAGCTGTGATTATTGCATGAACTTCAATGCATATTCTGCGTATATTTTCTGAGTAGAAGCTCATGCATTGCAATGCTTCATCTTTGGTTACTATTAATGCTATACTGCAAGTTTGGTTCAAGTTAAGAGCCAATTTTATTACTGATTGCTGGTGCTATAAAGAATATCTCTTTTCCTTGTCATTGTATTCTCCTTGTAGAATCCCAAGATATCATTTCAAGGGGTTGGCCAGGCTTGGTTTCTATACGTCTAGAGGTTTGCCACTGTCATTTTCCTAATTCCTGCTCTATGCAGTTGGACCTACTTTTTGCCAAAAATTGTGTGCAAGCATATGACAATGTGAAGGCTTTGAAATTTCAATTTTTTTTCCTGTTTACATGCTTATCCATGGTTGTCCATTTGCTTTTGAGTTTTCAGATGTTTGACATGTGCTCATTTTGTTGTTTAGGACTGTGGAGAAGTGACGATCAGTGGTGTTACCTCACTTTTTGACTGTTCAGCCCTTGAGGATCTGTTACTGCGTCATAATGTGAGTCTTTTGTAACTGCTTCTTTCCATGCATCTTTGCTTGTTTATCTATGGAAGTAATATGAATGGAGAGTGATTTTTATGGTTCTGGTAGCGTGAATTGTCATTTGACATATATCAAACAAATGCCTTTGTTTTCTACCAAGGGTGAATGGTACAGTAGTGGAAAACGTCATATGGGTTTCATGTTTTGTTATTGGATATCAAAATTGCAGCGGATAACCTGCACAATTTGTATTTTGTTCCTTGTCATGGTGCTTGTGGGTGGTATACCAAAATATGTAGAATGTTAATGAATGGAAACCTATTGATTAATGGTGATTTGACCTCTAATAGACTCCCTATCATTTGATCAAAGATAATGTATGCATATGGTTGTGTATATAATATGGTTATGTATATTTTTCTGGCATACAAAATCAGAGTTCATAGAAAAGAGTCTTTAATTCTTTTCATTCTGTGAATAACTACCCAATGGTGATTTGATCTCAAGCAGCCAGAGTAGAATGTGACAGGACAATTTGAAAAATATCCCTCTGCAGGCCTTAATTTTTTATTAACCTTGGAACATCACCAAAAGCAAATGAGCTTGTACCTCATAGACGGCCAATGTAAAACATATAGTCATTCATGTTTACAAAAATATTCCCATGTATGTAGCTTCAGGCAGATCTGAGCAGATAAAGAACTTGGTTGGGACTACTATTGCATTGAGTTTAATATAATACAAAGACAGAAAGACAATAGTGGCCACATCTAGTGTACCTTGAAAGCATCTGATAAACAATTACAATATGATTGAATCGGTTTAACTGGACGGCAGTGGTTTGCTTCAATAAAAAGCACAGTTTAACCAACCTTCTGGGGATGCATTCTTATAGAATCATAAGAGTATTTCCATTATTTTTTGATATCACGTTTCCAACACTAAAAATCAACATTGTTCAGAAAACAACAAAAAGCAACTCTTCAATCCTTTATCACATTTATACCTACAAATAGACTTCGCAATATTTGACTGGTGATCTCAATTGTAACCTTTGATTGCAGGGTGATGGAATTTCAAGAAATTTTATTCTTGACGCTGCCTCAAAGGTAAGCTTATAGGTGGCACCGCTTCATTTTTATCTTTTTATTGCTCTTCCTAAGGAAATGGCATCTAAGAATCCATATCTCTAAGATGTGCTCCTTTGATGACCCCAGATGCCAATGCTTCGAAAAGTGTCACTTGATATGTGCGATTCAAGGGATGGTGACTTTGACATTCCAACTGTAAGTTAGAGGACTGTATTTTTTTATCATTAGTTTGCTTAGTTACTTTTGTCCATAAATAGTATACATTAGATATTTGGTGCGTGTTAATGCCACTTCATTGTGTGTTAATGCCACTTCATTGTTTAATGGTCCCGATCAGTGACACTTAGGTTCACAGGAAAATACATTCAACTGAAATAGCTATGGCTTCAGGAACAAATTCGACTTTTTCTTTGTTTTTTCTATTGGGTTGGGGTGGATTGAAACAATCTTGTAAGGACTGGCCCGGCTGACATGTTACACAGACAACTTTCATTAGTGTGTAAACTCAGCGAAATTTGTGGAAAGTAGAAGTTTTCACACATTCCAGGCATTGGGTAGGGAACCATTCTATCACTCTAAACATAAATTGTGCCGTTGAAAAGTTGTGGCTTTGCATGTAGTTGTCATAGTTCAGTAGAATTTTCTGCCTTGAATCCATTCCGGTGTCCCTCTTCCCCCCCTTTATGTCTAGACTTCAGATTGGATGGTATATCCTGACTATTATGGAGTTGCTTCAGTATGCTGACAGGTACTTCTTGAGTGTGGTGAAGATAGCAAGATGTAAGCTTCAAAGGTTCACCTTAGACCTCCAAAAGGTGGAGGCTCGCAGAAAGCCAGTGCATAAGGAGACCTTACTACTCGTGTGGGACAGCAAAGTTCTCACAAGAACAGTGGTGAAGGAAAGAGTATAGGATTTAAAAGTGAAATGAAGTCCTGATCTAGTGGCTCTGCAGTGTATTATGCCCACTGGTGGTTTTATCAAGTAGCAGATTTGAGTTCCTCACTTGCAATGCATGGAATAGGGATGTGTCAAACAGATGTATCTAATAAATAGCCAATCGACTATTAAAAAGCAGAATTAGTAACTTTTAAACGAATTTTCAAGTTGATGAGATTGGTTGAGTGGTCTCGGTTGGAGATGGGATTGCATGTGTTTATGGATTGAATGAGGAGAATCGAATCGCATAGCTATATTGAAGCTAGTGGGAGAGACCTTTCCCGGGAAGGCTCCATAAATCTCTATTTCTTTTCTCATCAAAGTTAGACCGATTAGACTTTCATTTTGATTCACTGATTTGAAACTGGGAACTTGTTTTCTTATTGATTATAGGGTGGTGGTGTTTTTGAATGAAGTCTATCCGAACCGAATTAGCATTTCTAATGCTCCAAAATTCCCGCCTGCTATCCCAAAGATCTGCAACTCAAATCAAATGTCCATTGTTGTTAAAAACCCCATTCCACGTGTAGCCTATCATGTATTTCTCTGTTCTGTTTATGTCCCGTTCAAGTGTGACCATTTAAAGCAAAATTATCATAGGAGATGCATCATTTTTTTTTATTTTTTGCATCACAGGCATGTTTCACAGACACCTGCCTCTGGCATCAAGATGCTTTAAGGTGGGATCTCAGTTCCTCTTTGCTTTGATACATGTCGTATGTTGAAGGTAGTTTCCCTCATTACACGGAGAACAATTATGTTACTTGTGGAGTCGTGGTTTAGATATTGATTTGCCATAATGAGCTAGTGATCCGAACCCAAGCTTAGACAAAAAGTTAAACAAGCTGAGAATAAGGACTTGATTGTACATAACATTCAGTACGTCGGTCACAAAAGTAAGTAATGAATGAGTTTCTCTTGGATTTCATTCAGGAAAAAAACTCTTTTTTAGTGTTCTTTCTAGTTAGTGAAGTGCATGGTATTAGAGTACGGACGCAGAAAGAGAGAGAGTAGATGGAAGTCAATAAAGCTGAAGATGCTGAAAATCAATCTAGATGAATTAGGTTAAAACAAAATGTTTGAAACTCATAACAATCACAAGCCAACTATGATCGCTCTTTGTGATCGAATGAACTGAGTTCGGTTGGTCTGATGAGGGGCTCACTTCAGTTCACAACAATATTTTGTTAACCAAGATTTTTTACAATATTTTCTATTTTCAAGTGATGTAACACGATTTTCACCGTCAAATAAGTATCTTATTAATATTCAATGATGAAAATTGTATTATAAAAAACTTGGTAAGCATTGCATTATTCAATTTTTTTAACGTGCCTGTAGGAATGTTCATTTTTCTTGAGAATTTTTTGTTCAAGTTAACACACCATATGACAGTGTCATGGGTTGTAAATCATTAATAAAATATTATATATTCTCAATGAACGACGGTGATTTATTGCTTAGTTAATTTTTTTTTGAGAAGCCAACTTGTGAATCCTACAAGTTGATTTTACGACCGCCTTTCACGACTTATTTCTTATCCACCAAAGCATTGAGTTTCAAAAACCATGGAAACTTGAAAGGTTAAAATGCCTTTCTTTTTTGGGTTTTTGTTTTCAGAGGGGGAGGGGGACTTGAACCCTTAATTTCAAGAAAGTATTACACCAAAAGCCCGTTGTTTTAAAAGGTTAAAATAAAATGCAATGTATGTGACATCATGAATCAAATGCATATTATTAGTACCATAAAATAAAAAAATCAAGTGCTCTCATTCAAAACCAAATGAGCAACTTCTCATTCAATTTTGGTCTTCATTGTGTGCAGATACAAATATCCTCATTCTTTCTTCCCAATCCGATGAGACATATTATAGATCCCTCGCACCTGAATAAATAGAAAACGTACAATAAGATCCAGCGAAAGGCTACACGACAAACGATTAAAATTCGTGCACCCACAGAAAAAATATAAACTCACGATGAGAACTCCAGATGCTGCTGCCAAAGCAAGGGGAATAGCCACTGAGGTGATCTTGCCATATGGCCCCTTCTGATGTGTGTATTTGTTGATGCTCTGAAAATATTGTTGCTTCTGAACCAATCTCTCCCTTGGTAGAAATCCAGCTTCTGTCATCCTGCAACACAACGTGCACGACTGCTTTCATAACCCTCTCGCACCAACCCCTTTGACGGGACATTTTGTGATGAGTTCTATCATTTGACAAAAATGGCTGTATCAACTAGTATACAACTTAAGGAACCAAGATTTCAAGAACGAAATGTTAAACTTTGACCAACTCTACCAAAATGATTACAGTCTATAAGTTTCTCTCTCTCTATAAATACAAGTGAAGAGCCAAAGATAGGGAACTCTAAGCTCCATACCTCACACACACACATTTTGACAATTTTCTCTTGTTTTATATACATGTCTATTCACGTATTTATCTCAATACTGACTTATGCATCGGAGGGGTCTCCTCCAGCCCAATGTTGGGTCCCTCGAACATCTTTTCGGTTTTGCAGTTCATGAGTCGGATGATATTTGAAGACTAGGAGCGCACCTCAATGTATTTTAGTGATTGTATGAAATTTATCCCATACACCCTCTATACGAGAAATTTGGGTGGGCACCCGTCCTAACTATTCATCCTGATGCAGTGATGCTAAGGCATAAGTGATCAAGAAGCAAGCATAAGTGATTAATGAATAAACACAACACCAAACCCCTCTTTTCCCTAACCCCTCTCAAGGATTTAGGCCAAAACTACTCTTCTTTTTATCTAGAAAAATCTAAAACCTAAAAAAATAGAAAAATCATACTTTTTTTTTTGTTTGATGTAAAGTGGTGTACATTATTATAATGAATCGCTAAGAGACACAAAATAGACGGATCTTCAGTTTCATACTTTCAAATGTCTCGACTATGCAAAAGTAGCTAATATCTTGAATACTTTACTAATTTGGAAGACAAAATAGAATTACTTAGTGACTAGCAACGCAGTACTCGCTGTGCGTTACTCTTATTTGACCGACCTATCTTCTTTCTATAAGTAAGCTCCCCTGGCCGTCCAAGCCCTCACGACTCTTGGTTTTTGAGCATGATGGGGGATTTTTAAATTCAAAGAAGTCAATTGAAGGTCTACAATGATGTGCTTCACTCAAAGTAATGCACAAATTATGACAAATCCACCTCAAGGTTTTACTACAAAACAAAATAAAACTACATGCCCTACCACAAAGGAAAGAAAAGACCTAGCAATTGTAATTTGTTCATGTATATGCTTCCAATGCATCAAAGTTTTTTTTTCCCACGAAACAAATGTAGTGAAACGAATGGACTAATTCATTATCACTCGAAACATAATATCCAATCAAAAGGACTTCTTGTGGGCTAAAATATTTCAGCTTATTTATGTGTGTTTTTTCTTTGACATTCAGATTAAATAGTTGCACCTAACTCTGCTTATGTACTTTTGTGCACATCTAGTCAGAAGTCCGAATAAAAGACGAGAGTTATGTTAGGTAATTGACACACAGTTAATAAAACTCATCAGACCAAATACAAATATGATTTAAATAGTAAGTTGCACCTCTCTAATCTCCAAGTACTTGATCAAAATTTTCGCTTTGAATTGTTGGAAGTAGTTGTAATAGTTACATTATGCTCCGTTTGGTACGATGGAAAAGTGGGAGGATAAAAAGTTGGAAAAATAAAAAATTAGAGAGGTAAATAAAACATCATGTTTGGTAAAAAATGAGAGTAGAAATGATGAAAAAGTGGATGANTATCTCAATACTGACTTATGCATCGGAGGGGTTTCCTCCAGCCCAATGTTGGGTCCCTCAAACATCTTTTCGGTTTTGCAGTTCATGAGTCGGATGATATTTGAAGACTAGGAGCGCACCTCAATGTATTTTAGTGATTGTATGAAATTTATCCCATACACCCTCTATACGAGAAATTTGGGTGGGCACCCGTCCTAACTATTCATCCTGATGCAGTGATGCTAAGGCATAAGTGATCAAGAAGCAAGCATAAGTGATTAATGAATAAACACAACACCAAACCCCTCTTTTCCCTAACCCCTCTCAAGGATTTAGGCCAAAACTACTCTTCTTTTTATCTAGAAAAATCTAAAACCTCAAAAAATAGAAAAATCATACTTTTTTTTTTGTTTGATGTAAAGTGGTGTACATTATTATAATGAATCGCTAAGAGACACAAGATAGACGGATCTTCAGTTTCATACTTTCAAATGTCTCGACTATACAAAAGTAGCTAATATCTTGAATACTTTACTAATTTGGAAGACAAAATAGAATTACTTAGTGACTAGCAACGCAGTACTCGCTGTGCGTTACTCTTATTTGACCGACCTATCTTCTTTCTATAAGTAAGCTCCCCTTGGCGTCCAAGCCCTCACGACTCTTGGTTTTTGAGCATGATGGGGGATTTTTAAATTCAAAGAAGTCAATTGAAGGTCTACAATGATGTGCTTCACTCAAAGTAATGCACAAATTATGACAAATCCACCTCAAGGTTTTACTACAAAACAAAATAAAACTACATGCCCTACCACAAAGGAAAGAAAAGACCTAGCAATTGTAATTTGTTCATGTATATGCTTCCAATGCATCAAAGTTTTTTTTTCCCACGAAACAAATGTAGTGAAACGAATGGACTAATTCATTATCACTCGAAACATAATATCCAATCAAAAGGACTTCTTGTGGGCTAAAATATTTCAGCTTATTTATGTGTGTTTTTTCTTTGACATTCAGATTAAATAGTTGCACCTAACTCTGCTTATGTACTTTTGTGCACATCTAGTCAGAAGTCCGAATAAAAGACGAGAGTTATGTTAGGTAATTGACACACAATTAATAAAACTCATCAGACCAAATACAAATATGATTTAAATAGTAAGTTGCACCTCTCTAATCTCCAAGTACTTGATCAAAATTTTCGCTTTGAATTGTTGGAAGTAGTTGTAATAGTTACATTATGCTCCGTTTGGTACGATGGAAAAGTGGGAGGATAAAAAGTTGGAAAAATAAAAAATTAGAGAGGTAAATAAAACATCATGTTTGGTAAAAAATGAGAGTAGAAATGATGAAAAAGTGGATGAATTTTTTTTTTTAAGAAAAAAGTGGATGAATTAACTTTCCTTCCAATTGACTAAATTCAATTCCTCCAAAATCGGAAAAAAGTGGTTGAAAAATTAATTATTTATGTTAAGATGTATCTTATTTGTCTATATATTTTTTTATATATACATATATTATGTATACATTAATTTAATATAAAAATACAATGGTAATATATATATTAATTTTTTTTTTAAAATTTTAAAATAAAAAAAATATTTTTTCTATCTTAATTAAAANTGATCCGAACCCAAGCTTAGACAAAAAGTTAAACAAGCTGAGAATAAGGACTTGATTGTACATAACATTCAGTACGTCGGTCACAAAAGTAAGTAATGAATGAGTTTCTCTTGGATTTCATTCAGGAAAAAAACTCTTTTTTAGTGTTCTTTCTAGTTAGTGAAGTGCATGGTATTAGAGTACGGACGCAGAAAGAGAGAGAGTNAATAAATAAGTCAATTTGTAACTCGACACGACACACTTAGTTAAATGAGTTAAATTAAGTTTGATTAATATTTGACACAATCCGTAATGATTCAACACGAATCTGACACGACATGATTCGATTCGATTTTTACTTTTAATCTTAGCCAGCACAAAAAAAAATAATTATTTTTATTTTCCATCCATCCTACCAAACACAAAAGAAAAAAAATATATCATTCCTACTTTTCATCCTTGAAGGATAAAAAATGTATCTCTTCTACTTTCTATCCTCCCTACCAAACAGATCATTAGTCATTGAAAATAGTGAATAGATGTATNATTATTCAATTTTTTTAACGTGCCTGTAGGAATGTTCATTTTTCTTGAGAATTTTTTGTTCAAGTTAACACACCATATGACAGTGTCATGGGTTGTAAATCATTAATAAAATATTATATATTCTCAATGAACGACGGTGATTTATTGCTTAGTTAATTTTTTTTTGAGAAGCCAACTTGTGAATCCTACAAGTTGATTTTACGACCGCCTTTCACGACTTATTTCTTATCCACCAAAGCATTGAGTTTCAAAAACCATGGAAACTTGAAAGGTTAAAATGCCTTTCTTTTTTGGGTTTTTGTTTTCAGAGGGGGAGGGGGACTTGAACCCTTAATTTCAAGAAAGTATTACACCAAAAGCCCGTTGTTTTAAAAGGTTAAAATAAAATGCAATGTATGTGACATCATGAATCAAATGCATATTATTAGTACCATAAAATAAAAAAATCAAGTGCTCTCATTCAAAACCAAATGAGCAACTTCTCATTCAATTTTGGTCTTCATTGTGTGCAGATACAAATATCCTCATTCTTTCTTCCCAATCCGATGAGACATATTATAGATCCCTCGCACCTGAATAAATAGAAAACGTACAATAAGATCCAGCGAAAGGCTACACGACAAACGATTAAAATTCGTGCACCCACAGAAAAAATATAAACTCACGATGAGAACTCCAGATGCTGCTGCCAAAGCAAGGGGAATAGCCACTGAGGTGATCTTGCCATATGGCCCCTTCTGATGTGTGTATTTGTTGATGCTCTGAAAATATTGTTGCTTCTGAACCAATCTCTCCCTTGGTAGAAATCCAGCTTCTGTCATCCTGCAACACAACGTGCACGACTGCTTTCATAACCCTCTCGCACCAACCCCTTTGACGGGACATTTTGTGATGAGTTCTATCATTTGACAAAAATGGCTGTATCAACTAGTATACAACTTAAGGAACCAAGATTTCAAGAACGAAATGTTAAACTTTGACCAACTCTACCAAAATGATTACAGTCTATAAGTTTCTCTCTCTCTATAAATACAAGTGAAGAGCCAAAGATAGGGAACTCTAAGCTCCATACCTCACACACACACATTTTGACAATTTTCTCTTGTTTTATATACATGTCTATTCACGTATTTATCTCAATACTGACTTATGCATCGGAGGGGTCTCCTCCAGCCCAATGTTGGGTCCCTCGAACATCTTTTCGGTTTTGCAGTTCATGAGTCGGATGATATTTGAAGACTAGGAGCGCACCTCAATGTATTTTAGTGATTGTATGAAATTTATCCCATACACCCTCTATACGAGAAATTTGGGTGGGCACCCGTCCTAACTATTCATCCTGATGCAGTGATGCTAAGGCATAAGTGATCAAGAAGCAAGCATAAGTGATTAATGAATAAACACAACACCAAACCCCTCTTTTCCCTAACCCCTCTCAAGGATTTAGGCCAAAACTACTCTTCTTTTTATCTAGAAAAATCTAAAACCTAAAAAAATAGAAAAATCATACTTTTTTTTTTGTTTGATGTAAAGTGGTGTACATTATTATAATGAATCGCTAAGAGACACAAAATAGACGGATCTTCAGTTTCATACTTTCAAATGTCTCGACTATGCAAAAGTAGCTAATATCTTGAATACTTTACTAATTTGGAAGACAAAATAGAATTACTTAGTGACTAGCAACGCAGTACTCGCTGTGCGTTACTCTTATTTGACCGACCTATCTTCTTTCTATAAGTAAGCTCCCCTGGCCGTCCAAGCCCTCACGACTCTTGGTTTTTGAGCATGATGGGGGATTTTTAAATTCAAAGAAGTCAATTGAAGGTCTACAATGATGTGCTTCACTCAAAGTAATGCACAAATTATGACAAATCCACCTCAAGGTTTTACTACAAAACAAAATAAAACTACATGCCCTACCACAAAGGAAAGAAAAGACCTAGCAATTGTAATTTGTTCATGTATATGCTTCCAATGCATCAAAGTTTTTTTTTCCCACGAAACAAATGTAGTGAAACGAATGGACTAATTCATTATCACTCGAAACATAATATCCAATCAAAAGGACTTCTTGTGGGCTAAAATATTTCAGCTTATTTATGTGTGTTTTTTCTTTGACATTCAGATTAAATAGTTGCACCTAACTCTACTTATGTACTTTTGTGCACATCTAGTCAGAAGTCCGAATAAAAGACGAGAGTTATGTTAGGTAATTGACACACAATTAATAAAACTCATCAGACCAAATACAAATATGATTTAAATAGTAAGTTGCACCTCTCTAATCTCCAAGTACTTGATCAAAATTTTCGCTTTGAATTGTTGGAAGTAGTTGTAATAGTTACATTATGCTCCGTTTGGTACGATGGAAAAGTGGGAGGATAAAAAGTTGGAAAAATAAAAAATTAGAGAGGTAAATAAAACATCATGTTTGGTAAAAAATGAGAGTAGAAATGATGAAAAAGTGGATGAATTTTTTTTTTTAAGAAAAAAGTGGATGAATTAACTTTCCTTCCAATTGACTAAATTCAATTCCTCCAAAATCGGAAAAAAGTGGTTGAAAAATTAATTATTTGTGTTAAGATGTATCTTATTTGTCTATATATTTTTTTATATATACATATATTATGTATACATTAATTTAATATAAAAATACAATGGTAATATATATATTAATTTTTTTTTTAAAATTTTAAAATAAAAAAAATATTTTTTCTATCTTAATTAAAAGTGAAAATTTTAAATTCAACACGATAACACGACTCGAACTCGATACAAAAATAAATAAGTCAATTTGTAACTCGACACGACACACTTAGTTAAATGAGTTAAATTAAGTTTGATTAATATTTGACACAATCCGTAATGATTCAACACGAATCTGACACGACATGATTCGATTCGATTTTTACTTTTAATCTTAGCCAGCACAAAAAAAAATAATTATTTTTATTTTCCATCCATCCTACCAAACACAAAAGAAAAAAAATATATCATTCCTACTTTTCATCCTTGAAGGATAAAAAATGTATCTCTTCTACTTTCTATCCTCCCTACCAAACAGATCATTAGTCATTGAAAATAGTGAATAGATGTATGATAATTCAGATGATAGGCCATAAACACAACCAATGCTAGAAGCAATGTTATTAAAAAATAAAAAAGAATTCCACCACAAGAAACCTTAATGCTCTATTTGATAGGGAGGATAAAAAGTAGGAAAGATGGAAAATAGGAGGGATACACTTTCTATCCTTCAAGAATGGAAAGTAGGAAGGATATACTTTCCTTCCTTTGTATTTGGTTAGATGGATAAAAAATAAAAATGACTATTTTTTTTTTGTGCCGGCTAAGATTAGGTGTGACAATCAAGTGGTGTCGTATCAGATTCATGTTGAGTCATTACGGGTTTGTGTCGAATATTAGTCAAATATAACTTAACTCATTTAACTAATTATGTCGTATCGAGTTGCGAGTTGACTTGTTTATTTTCGTATCGAGTTCGAGTCGTGCTATCGTGTTGAGTCAAAAATTTTCATCCTTAGTTAAGATGGAAACAATATTTTTTTTAATTTAAAATTTTTGTTTTTAATTTATTTTAATATATATATATATATATATATTTTACCTTTGTATTTTTATATGAAATTAATGTATACATAATATATGTATATATAAAAAGATATATAGACAAATAAGATATATCTCAACACAAATAATTAACTTTTCATCCACTTTCTTTCCAATTTTAAAGGGATTGATTTTGGTGAGTTGGAAGAAAAGTTAATCCATCCACTTTTCTATCCTTCCTACTTTCATTTCTTATCAAACATGATGTTTTATTTATCATTCCAACTTTTCATCCTTCCAACTTTTCATCTTCTCACTTTTCTATCATACCAAACGGTGCATAAACGAATCAACTCATCAATCGATGGATCAAACCAATGGGATCAANAAAAACCATGGAAACTTGAAAGGTTAAAATGCCTTTCTTTTTTGGGTTTTTGTTTTCAGAGGGGGAGGGGGACTTGAACCCTTAATTTCAAGAAAGTATTACACCAAAAGCCCGTTNGAATCAACTCATCAATCGATGGATCAAACCAATGGGATCAAAAGTATACATGACACTAAAATGAACGAATGAACCAAACAGTGAATCAAAAACATACCTGAAAATGAAATGAATAAATGAACAAAATGATGAATCAAATTGCTCCGAATCGAAGTTCCAACACTCTTAATGCAAAAAAGAAAAGATTGTTCTATCACAATGGCCATGTTTATAGTTCCCGTTTATAAATGGGTACAAATGCTTGGACTTCTTTTAAACAAATACCAAACCCGGTTTCAACGAATTTATATCACAATGACTTAGGCTGATTAACCGTGTCGGGCGAGATGTGTTTATGTTGAGCTTTAAGGGATTTATGTTGTGCGTGCTAGATCTTGCACAATATAAAAACGAGAACAGATCTCTCCATTAGTGAACTTGAGTGAGTCAGTTGAGTGGTCAACCACGCTGCTTGGAACAGCCTGTGAGATCCGGTGGTAACCTGGAACGGTAATGGGAGACCCTCGCGGATCAAAGGAACGATCTAGTAAGGCTGAAGAAAGGTTCCTAGCACAAAGAAGAACAATTTAGAAGGGCGCCAGAGTGTTTTTCGGCGTATCCCCTCCGACGATCAAGTCAGTTTTTGAGAGAGAGGAAGAAGAAAACACTGAGTATAATTTGTAGCAAAAGTTTCACCTCTTTTTCCTTGCCTTTAGTGAGGAGTATTTATACCTCAAATACTCATGATTGCTGTCAGTGTGGTCAGTAGGTGATCATTAGATACAGGCAACGTGCGCACTGATTCCTA